TACATTTTTTTTAAAAGAGATCTTGCTAAATAGCCCAGGCTGGTCTTCAACTTGTGCTCTTCCTGCCTCAGCCTCCCAGAGTGCTGGAATTACAGGCATGCACGAGGCTGAGAATGGGAATATTTGGAAATTGCGTGCAATGTTTTTTGAGTTGCTTTTTTTTTTTTTTTTCTGTGAATGTCCAGAGTTTTCAACAGATTCTCAAGGGATCTAGAGCCCCGGACAGTCTGGAGCGCTCTCTTTTTCCAGAAAGTCTTCTCTGCCCTCAGACAGGGCCGGGTCCCTCCGCCCAGCTCCTTGGTCTTCCTGCCTCAACCTCTGCCGGGGCCCCCTCTTCACAGCACAGATGTTATGTGTGGCGATGTGCGGGTGGCCCCCCGGGGAGCTCCATGAGGCTCAGGGATTTCTTAAGCACCCAAAATGTCACCAGCATTGTCTAACAGAGGGCTGTCTGGCGACAAAGATGCCATCTTAAAGATACTCGCCTTCCTCACCTCTAGGCCTTTGCACATGCTACTCCCTCACCTAGAACACCATCTCCTCCAGCCTTTCCGGCTCATTTCCCAGCATCCTTCAGGTCTCAGCCCAGACGTCTCCAGGGGCCTCCCTAGCTCCCTCCCCTGTAGGGCTTGGTTAAAGTTTATTTTTCCGACACTCAAAAGCACGTATTATGGAAAACATCTATTGAATAAATGAATGAAGGGTTAGTGTTTGGGTTGGCTCCCTGCGTCAGCTGGGGCGTAACTTCCTGACCCTCTTTGTACAGTTGTTTTTTTTACTTTGTTTTGTTTTTCCAAGTTTCTTGAGTTATGACTCACATACCACACAACTCACCCATGTGAAGTGTATCATTCACAGATTTTTAGTAGAGTTGTGTGACCATCGCCCCCTTTGGGGAGCCGAGAGTCTTGAGAGTCTTCGCCCTGACGTCCCTCCCCACAAGGACCCCATGCTAGGTGCTTCTCATTGCCCCATTGAAGGGGACAGAGTCTGGCCTCTTCTTGCACCCTGGGAGGGGGAATCACTAAAGAACAAGGCCTAGCCATCTCCCCTCACCATCTGACTGGCCACAGGGCTCAGCATTTTCTAGAGGCCCGGGGCTGTGACAGGGACTGAGCACTTGCTATTTGCCAGGTGACATTCTAAGCACTTGCCATGTATGACTCACGTAGTGGCCATCAACGATCCAGATAAAGCCGGACACGGTTGTACACATCTGTAATCCCACCACTCGGGAGGCTGAGGCAGGAAGATCCTTGCAAGTTCAAGACCAGCCTGGGCTATAAAGTGAGCTCGTCAGCCTGAACTGCATAGCGAGACCCTGTCTCAAAAACAAAAACAATCCAGAGTAAGCACATGGGAACCCGAGCTCTCGGGAATGTGGCCCCTCTGGAAGCTCAGGGAGGTGGGTAGGCCTCAGGCTAGGGCGGAGCCTCCATCCCTTTCCTGCAACTTGAGCTGGAAGGTTAGAAGTAGTGGCTCAGGGCCAGGGATGTAGCTTAGCAGTACAGCGCCTGCCTGGCAAGTGTGAGGTTGTGAGTTCGATTCCCGGTACCAAGTTAAAAAAAAAAAGGTGGCTCACAGGCCGGATGTGCCCCACTGGGTAGTTATAAAATATAAAAGATTAAACACAGAGTTACCTTCCTGCTCCCCTCTTAGGTAGAAAGTCACTTTTTTTTTTTTATCTTGTTCCTGTGACCCTCCCACATCACTTGTCCAGGCCCCTGAAGCATTTGGGCTTGAAACCCTAGGGAGAGAGCTCAGGTGAGTGAAAAATGATGCAGGGACAGGGCTTTGGTCCAGTGGCAATGGGCCCCTTCGCTCCCGAACCTGTACCCCATGCACCCTGCATTTCTGCCTGGCCAGGCTGTGCTTGTTCCCTAGGCAGGGAGATTCCTGTTTGCTTGTTTGTTTGTTTGTTTTATTTTAAAGAGTAAAGGAAGGATAACATAGTAATACGGGGGCTTACCAAATTACAGACAAAGTGGTAGGAAATTATCAATGGTTGTTGTTTTACATATTGCTATCTTCAAGATAGTTTCTCTTTAGAAGCCACTTTGAAGATACCAAAGTATAGTACAACAACTCTTGATAATCTCCTACCTCTTTTGTCTGTAACTCACTATTATTTGTCTATTTGTTTTCCTGAGAAACTATTTTGTAGACAATAATATGTAAAATGATAACCATTGATAATTTCCTACCATTTTGTCTGTAATTTGCTAAGTCCCCCCTATTATTATGTTATCCTTCTTTTATTCTTTAAAATAAAAAAAATAAAAAAAATAAAAAAAAAGATAGTTTCTCAAGAAAACAAACAGACAATAGTGAGTTACAGACAAAAGTAGTAGATTATCAATGGTTGTTGTACTATGGTATCTTCAAAGTGGTTTCTAAAGAAAATAAATAGAGCTATACAGGGGCTGGGGATTTAGCTCGGCAGCACAGTGCCTGCCTGGCAAGCATGACTTCGTGAGTTCGATTCCTGGTACCGGAAAAAAAAAAAAAAAGAGCTATACATGAGTGACCAATTGAATAATCACTGACTATTCTCAATGGTGTTGTAGGAAACCTAGTAATAAACATACATCCATTTATGAAATAGCATGGGAACAATACAAACATTACAGAGTTATGGACAGATTAGTAGGAAAATATCAGTGGCTGCTGTAATACATGGTGGTGGTTTCTCAGGAAAACAGAGATACGCAAGAAAGATCTACCAAGTAGTTACAGCCTAAGGGTTGTGAAAAATAGCGTATTACCTCCTCACCAGTGACTCCTGTCACTGAGGTGTGACGGCTGGAAGGAAGGCCAGGATTGAAAAGAAGGACCGAGAGACTTGCACCTGTGACTAGCAACAAGCTGTTTTCTTGTTCCTCCATAGTCATGATTACTCGGGGCTCCTCCATGGAGATGACAGTCTGGCCAGAGGGAGAAGGCAGAGTATGCCCCGGGCCCCTTCATTCCTGTTGGACCAACTGGTAGGATGGGTCTGAGCTCTGGGGCCTCCGCTCCAAAAGGCAGACCGATCTCCAGTGGTCACCTTTTAGGCAGGGAGATTCTGCTCCCCCAAATGGCTGAGTAGGCAGGGGACAGAGTGACAGTGCTGGGCACCTCAGCGCCATGCACAGCTCATTCCCACACAGGGCACCGGCCGGGACCGCTGCTCCCTGCTCAACCCACAGCCGGTTCCCAGCAGGAGCGCTGAGGCTGGGCTCACACTCCAGGGACTCCACCCGCTCCCTGTAGCCTACTTGTCCAGGGGACTTTGGAGCCATCTTTAAGGAGTAGAGGAAAGCCAAGAGCGGCTTCCCCAAGCAGGGTGTGAGGCCGCTCCCTTGTCCCTCTGCCAGAGGCCCCGCACAGAAGGAAAAGAAAGAGTCCAGGAGGATTTACCAAGAGGGTCAGGAGTAGGTGTTAAAATCCTTAAGGTGAGATCGCACTGAAGATTTGAGAACAAGGCAACAGGAAGCAAAATAGTAAGACACAGAAGGCAGGTGTGGTGGCATAAGCCTATAATCCCAGCACTCCAGGAGGCTGAGGCAGGAGGAGATCACAAGTTCAAGACCAGCCTGGCCAACAGGGGGACTTTAACAAGATCTTCCCTCAAAATAAAAACAAAAAATAGGGGGAAAAATTAAATTAAAAAAAAGGGGGATTAAAAAAACAACAGGCCGGGATGCAGTTCAGTGCAAAGGCCCAGTACAGCCCCCCTCACACCCACACACAAAGGACAGAGAGGATACGACAAAGAGATAGAGTTGTGCAGGGAAAATTAAGCAGAGCTACAGCAACAGAGAGAAACAAAGACAGGAGACAGGTAGAGGCTAAAAGAGATGGACTACGCAACAGTCGTGGAAACTGCGTCCGACCTGGAGTCCAGAGTGGCGGACGGACGTAAGAGTGCGTGTATGTGTGTAATTCAGTGACTCCAAGAGCAAGTTTGAGCCAGATTTTGAGAAAAAGCAGGCAGAGGCATGATACAAAACAGGTCTTTTTAATGGAAAACTTTATAAAAAGGGTGAGGAAATGTGAAGGGAACCAAGGGTTAGGCTAGGGCCAGGGTGCCGGTGGGAGGGGCTGGGGGTGGCGGGAGCAGCGAACAGTGCTGTCCATCATCTGTCCACTCGGTCCCAGCCGGCCGCGTCCCTGTGCGCACGTGCACAGACCGGCTGCAGGTGTGCGCGGCAGGGCCCAGGGCCCAGGGCTGGACGGGTGGATGGAGGCTCAGGCCCGGGGCCGCGCAGGCGCACAGTGGTGCGGCTGGTGCGTGGGTGCGAATCCAGGGCGGCAGACACAGCGGAAGGAGCCGTCCGTGTTGACGCAGCGCGCATTGACGCAGAGCGGGGAGGCCGCCTCTGCCTCATCACACTCGTTGACGTCTAGGGAGGTGGTAGAAAGAGTGCTGCTCAAGGCTGGGGACCCAGAAGCCCGCCTCCCACGGGCACTGGGGCACTTTGGGCAGAGAAATACTGTATAGATGTTTTGAGCCTTTTGTCTGAAGTAAACCCCCTCCACTGCCACGTGTTGGCTGTGTGAGCCCAAGAAAGTCGCTTAACTTCTCTGTGTCTCAGCTTCCTGTTCTCTCTGATGGCTATCTTGGCTACGTCGCTGAATTTTTGTTAGGAAGATAATACTGATCGTGATAGCACCAAGAGTAAACGCATCAGACACTTTTTTTTTTTTTTTTTTTGCGACAGGGTCTCACCATGCAGTTCAGGCTGGCCTTGAGCTCACTTTGTAGCTTAGGCTGGTCTCAAATTTACAATGATTCTCCTGCCTCAGCCTCCCAAATTCTAGGACCACGCCCAGCTAAAACATTATTGTAAGCACATGACCGATGTTAACTTTATAGTCCTACTAACCCTATAAACTAGCTACGGGGTCCTGTTTAAGCCCCTTCCCAATGTCACAGCAAGCCCGGACGCCACGTGGGTTCCCAGGCCAGCCGTCCACGCCTGAGTACCCAGACCTCTACTGCTTCTCAGCTGTGAGACTTCGGGGATTCAGATCTCTTCATTTTTGAGCCTTGGTTTACATACAGCCTTCAGTGTTACCGTAAATCAGCGATACTGATGTTCCTAATTCTGAATAGGTTCTTTAAGTATTTCCACTTTTCAGATAAAGCGAAGCAAAGGTCAGTGACCCGACCAGAGTCGCACAGGAAGTGGACTGAGCTGAGGTCTATCCAACTCATCCTGACGTCCTGATGTAATCGCTCGGCTTTCCCCGTCTAAACTAGGCAGACACAATTCCTTTTCCCCCGTTATGGAGGGGAAGACTCGGGCTTCCTGAAGAGGCCATGTAAATTGCTCAAGGCAGCAGGAGAAGTCCTCAGACATCCCCGCCCCAGACGTCTGGCCAAGCCCTGCCTTCCTCGAGTCCAGACGCTCCCTGCATTACGCCCCACCACTCAGCTGGAATGACCCCAGCCCTGGCCCCGGAATGGCCTGTGCCCTTACCTCGGCGTCCCTGATCACCCACCTATAGCAGAGCTTCCACCCTCTCTTCTCGACCCCCGCCCCTCCGGCCCCTCACCGACGCAGGCCATGCGCGTTATGTCCAGGCGGTAGCCGTCAAAGCAGTCGCAGGTGAACCCTTCGGGGACGCGCACGCAGCGGCCGTGGGCGCAGCCGTCCAGGATGCCGCACTCCTCTGCTTCCAGCCCCTCGTAGGGCTCAGCCGGGGCACCTACGGTGAACGAAGAAACGCGGTGACTCCAGGTCCCCGTTTTCCGCCCCTTCGTCCCTCCTGCAATGTCTGTGGCCCTGGCTCTGCAGGTCTTTTCTAAACTGTCTCTCTTAGCCGGGCGTGGTGGCACACGTCTGCAATCCCAGCACGCGGGAGACTGAGGCAGGAGGATCCCTGTGAGTTCAAGGCCAGCCTGGGCTACAAAGTGAGCTCAAGGCCAGCCTGAACTGCATAGCGAGACCCTGTCTCAAAAAGACAAAATAAATAAACTGCCCCTCCCACTCCAGGGCTGCAGGGGCGCTGTGGGGCCAGATTTACCTGACGCAGCTCTCCTAGCTTTCTTCCTCCCATCTCGCTGCAGGTGTTTCTGTGATCCTCCTCACTGTGCTGCCTCCCCTGGCTGTTTTCCCTGACCCTGTCCCTCCCCGCCTTCTCTTTCTGTGCCTCCCTCCGCCTCTCGCATCGCGGTCTCCACACCTCACCCTTCATGTCAGTCCAAAGTGCTCACCGGCATAGGCTCCACCTTCAGAGGACTCCTCAGGCTCTGGGAAGGACCTGCGGGTGTCTCGGGACCGATAGGGCCAGCCCGTGCCCCGGCTGGGTGGAGCAGGAGCCTCAGATTCTCCATAGGGGCCACCATCGTCCTCAAAGTCAGGCAGGTCGAAGGGTGGTGACCCGTAAGGGGCCTCCCGGCGGGCGAAGGGCCCAGGGGGTGGTGGGTAGGGGTCGTAGGGCAGCACAGGTGGTCCATACAACTCAGGCCCATAGGGGAGGCCCTGGAAGGGCGGGCCTATGTCTGGGCCATACTCATAGGGGAGTCCAAAGCCACCTGGCCTCGCAGGGCCATACGCAGGGGGGCGCAGCACATTGCACAGGGCCTCAAAGTCATCTGTGGACAGGAGCCGAGCCACACAATCAGCCCTTGTGTGCCTGTGCACCCAGCTCTCACCCGACCCCAGGAGGACAAGCCCAGGGCAGGGGATGCAGCCCAGGGGCCAGGATGCATGAGTGGGGGCTGAGCCCCTGGGGCCGAGATCTGAGGGGCTGGGATTCGGGTCTTTGAGGCCGAGTTCCCAAAGGGGAGGTTAGGAGACTCAAGAGATCTCCGGGGCCGTGTCCTGGACACCTGGACGTGGATGGGTGTCCAAGGCCGTGGGATCTGGAGGTCTACGGGGTGAGGAACTGGCCGTCTGTGGGCCCGAGCAGTAGAGCCCAGGCAACAGGTATTTGAGATGTCCAGCTCCACGGTTCGGGAGAGGGCATCTCACGGGCTGTATCTTGGGGGTTTTAGAGACCAGGAAGTGAGGGTGCAGGAGACTAAATCTCAGGAGTTTGTAGTATTTTTTTGTTCTCTTTTTTTGAGACAGGGTCTCGCTATGCAGTTCAGGCTGGGCTTGAGCTCACTTTGTAGCCCAGGCTGGCCTCGAACTCGCAAAGATCCTCCTGCCTCAGCCTCCCGAGTGCTGGGATTACAGGCGTGCACCACCACGCCCGGCATGAGTTTGTAGTATTGAAATGTGGGCTATGCCAAGCCAGTTCCATCACCCAGACTTGAAAGTCTTTGAAGTGTGACACAGGTACCAAGACTTTGGGACAACCTGTGACATGGGGTATTAAGATGCCAAGTGTGGGGGCATTTGGAGCCTGTGGGGCAGGGCTCCTGGGTGCAGCCCAGGTCGGTGGTGGTACCTGAGTCCTGCGCAGGGCAGAGGGCACAGTCCATGCCCCAGGCTTCACCGTAGAGACAGCAGCACTCTGTGTAGGTTGCCTGCCGGTCCAGCCGAGGGCGACTGCAAACAAGGTCAGGCCCCACCTCCTGCCAGCACACTCCTAGATTGTCATCTGCAGGAGGCAACAGTATGCATCAGGGTCAGCTGGCCCCCAGGTCCTCCCAAAGGCTAGGTCCCTGTCCCCTGCTAGAGCCCAGCCGCCTGCCTATTAAGAGCCCTACAGAGGGAGGAAGTTTGAGGGAAACGAAAAGGGAGAAAGGATCCAAAGAAACAGAAGCAAAACATCCAAAGAGATAACAACGTCAAGAAAACAGGAAAACAAGCTGGGCATGGTGGCTCACACCTGTAATCCCAGCACTTGGGAGGCTGAGGCAGGAAGAGCACCATGAGTTTGAGGCCAGCCTGGGTTACACAAGCAAGTTCAAGGCCAGCCTCCATTACATAATGAGACCATGTCTCAAAAAAAAAAAAAAGAAAAACCCAAACCAAAACAAACCAAACCAAAAAAACAGGAAAACAAAGCAGAGAGATGAAGAGAAAATCTAGAAGGAAAAACACACACAGGGGCTGGGGATATAGCTCAGCAGCACAAGCGCCTGCCTGTCAAGCACAAGGTCCTGAGTTCGATTCCCAGTGTACAAAAACAAAAACAGACACAGTGACGGTCAGAGATTCATATAAAGACCAAAGGAGAGAGAGGTAGAAAGAGATCACACAGAGAAGCACTAACATGTAGCAATCACTTAGCACTTAGGAAGACTAGGCTTTGTTCTGTCCTTAAAATAAATTTCTACCCTATAAGGTAGGGTTGCTACACTCCAATGTACAAAAGGGAAGCGATCTGCAAAGAGATCTACGAGGCGATATGCGACGTGCATGTGCACACAAAAGCCAGTAAGTTGGCAAATTGCCTCTGACGCCTTCGCCTGTACTAAAGCTTCGCCTTCAACCACCAGGCCAGCTGGCCTCTCAAAGGCACTGACTCCAGACAGCCTGCGGGGCTCTAAGGGGCGTGACCCTGCCAAAGGACGAGGGGCGTGGCCTTCCGCGAAGGCGTGGCCCGAGGGAGGGACGCGCGGTTGAGCCAATGGGGTGAGGACCTGGGGGGCGGGGTTACCGAGGCTCTGGCTCTCGTTGGAGACGCAGCGGCGCCGCGAGCCGTCCAGCACGAGTGGGGGCTCGCACGTGCAGTGGTAGGAGCCCACCGTGTTGACGCAGCGGCCGTCCTCACAGGCTGGCTCCTCGTCGGCGCATTCGTCGTTATCTAGACAAGCGTGGAGGGGCTGGTTTCGGGGCAACAGCCCTCCGCGCCGTCCCCGCCCTTTGCAGGGAACTCTCCAGCGCACTGACAGTGTGATAGATGGAGTCTAGACGCCCGGAAGGACTTCCCGGGGCGATGGGCACATTCCAGCGTGGGGCTGGCACGGCCCGCGCTGCGGGGTGGGGGAGGTGGGGCTCGTACCGACGCACTCCAGCCGCTGCGCATAGTAGTAGTAGCCGTTGCTGCAGTAACACGAGTAGCCCGGGGCCGTGTTCACGCACACGCCGCTCTTGCACACCTGGTCTCGGAAGAGCTGGCATTCGTCCACGTCTGCGGGAAGAGTGGAGCGAGATGGGGGCGGGGTATGCGGCAGGCCCTGGCCACAGTGTGTCACGGCGGAGCGGGACCAGTGAAGACAGGCTGAGACAGAGATGGCAGGAGAGACCCAGAAGTAGAGACCGAGGACAGGGGCTGGGGATTTAGCTCAGTGGCAAAAGTGCCTGCCTGGCAAGCGCAAGGTCATGAGTTCGGTTCCCGGTACCGGAGAAAAACCAAAAAAAAAAAAAAGCTACGTGAGACCGAGGACAAGGGCGAGGTGAAGACCCATAGAGAGAAACGGTGAGTGACAGGGATAAAGACAACAACAAGAACTTTGCATTTCTACCAGTAGTCCAAGCACTCTGGGAGGCTGAGTCAGGAGGATCGAAATTCCAGCCCAGCCTGGGCAACTTATCAATTTAAGAGAAACCATGTCTCAAAATAAAATAAATAAAAAGGAATGAGAATACAGCTCAGTGCAAAGGCCCTGGGTTCAATCACCAGTACTGGAAAAAGGGAGGGAGGGGAGGAAGGAAGAGAGAAAAAGAAAACAGGAAGAAATAGACATAAGTGAGCCTGGGGCTGAGGGTGGATGAGGGCTAGAGTCTGGCCTCACCTCGCCGGAGGTTTGGGTCTCCGCTGGGTGCTAGGTAGCCTCGGCCATGGGGGCACAGTGACTGGTACTCCGCTGCACAGAGACAAGGCTGACCTCAGCCGCCCGGGTCCCGGCCCCTGCTGTGCTCGCTCCTGCCCCCTGCCCAAGTCCTCAGGGCCCTGCCTGTTAGCATGCCTCACAGGGCCATGCCCGCCCATGCCCACCTGGGCTGTGGCTCACTCTTGTTCTGGCAGTGCCAGGAACTCAGCCCCTTGTCCAAGTGTGTCCTCTTTCCAGGCCCATACCCCTCGAGTTCTACCCAAGCCCTCAGCCCTGTGTCCACCCAGCAGTCCATGCCCACCTGTCTCGGTGCTTGGGCACTGCTGGATACGGCAGCCGCTGCCCCAGCCCTCACCCACAGTACAGCAGCACTCTTGCCACGTCACATTCCTCGCCAGGATGTTGTCACATGCATCCGGAGCCGCTGTGTCAAAGTAGCACTCCCGGCGCCCACTGCCCACAGGGCCCTGCCTGGGTGTGCTGGGCCTGCGGGGCGGAGGTGGTGGGGCTGGCCTGGCCGGCAGGCCGGGGCTGGCAGGGGCCTGGGGCTGCGAGCCTGGGAAAGTACCTAGGGAAACACAGAGCTTTAGTCCGGTGTGGGTTGAGCCCCGGCCCCCCATGCCATAGGTGGGGAAACGGAGGCTGGGAGCCATCAGGGGCACCTGTCACCCCTCTGTCATTATCTCTTTCAGCCACTTTCACCTCCAGTGTTTCTCTTTTGCTTCCCCACCTTATACTTCTGGGGTATCTCACCCAGCATGGCAGCTACAGGGGGATTTCCCTGGCCTCCTGCACTCATCCTTGGGCCTTCACATCCGGCACATCTCTCACGGGCTGGGCCTTGTCCTGGATGGGTCCTTACCCTGCAGCCCCGCAGCTTGTCCTCCTGGCCTCTGGGGTGTTTCTCCCACCCACTCGCCCTGCCTGTGACCCCTGCCCCGGAGACCTGTCCTCACCTGCCAGAGTCCCGGCCTCCAGAATCACCCTGCTTCAAGCACTGTCACATGGCAGCCCAAGGGGAGTTTCAAAACGGGAGTAGATACCCCTCCTGCTGAAAACTCTTCCACTGATAGGGGGCAAAGTCCAGCCTCCTGACCCTGGTAAGTCCAGCCTCCTGACCCTGTCTCCTCTAACACCCCTTCCTTTGTTCCTTTGACTCGTGAACCTCAAGTTCCTCAGCAGGCCAGCACACAGTGGGTGCTCTTTGAGCATTTGTTGAATAAAGGAATCTGATCACGTCAGGGTCAGGATTTGGTTCTCCTGAAGGAGTTCTAGTAATACCCACGTAAACTCATGTGTTCTAAAGTTCCTGTTGCTGTTTAAAACAGTAGCATATAACTGGTGGCAGCTGTCCACATGAAGAATGGTCAGGCCACGTCGTTTTCCTGCAGGAGCAGCAGCCATCAGTTAAATAGACAAATCAGTCTCACCAGCAGAAGTCCGAGGAGGTACACAGCGTCCAGTCATGGGATCGAATTCCTCAGGGCTTGTGGGGCAGACACATAGGAAGGAGCCCTCAACATTCTCACACAGGGCAGCTCCACACACACCCTGTAGTGTTTCGCACTCATTCACATCTGTGAGCAGGAGGTAAGAGGAAAGAGAGGGTCAATGGTTATAAAGGTCTAGATTCCAGAATCTCAGCTTTCAGACATAATGGGTATTTTTAATAGCCCAGGCCCTATTATCCACTTTTCTTCTAGTAGTAAACCCTGATTTTCCCTTGAGAATATTGTATTGGGGCTGGGGATTTAGCTCAGCGGTACAGCGCCTGCCTGGCATGCGCAAGGTCGTGAGTTCGATTCCCGGTACTGGAAAAACAAAACAAAACAAAACAAAACAAAAAGAATATATATATATAAAAAAAAACTATTGTATTCCTCCAATACAACTCTTTTTCTTTTCTTGTGGTACTAAGGATTGAAACCAGGGCCTTGGGCACTGAGCTAAATTCCCAGCCCCTTTTATTTTATTTGATGTTATTTTATTTTACTTTTTGCCCAGACTTGGCTTGAATTTGCCATCCTTCTGCCTCAGCCTCCTAGCGTGCTAGGATTACAGACCTATGCCACCACACCCAGCTAGTTCATGTTTTTTTTTTTTTTTTTCAGGACAGGGTCTCACTATGTAGCCCAGGCTGACCTTAAACTCCTGCCTCTGGCTTCCAAGTCTGGGATTAGAGGTATGCACCACCACACCCCGCAATAATAGAATCTAGATCATGGGTATACAGGTGTTCATTCTATAATGCTTTCAATTTGCTGTGTGTAGAGTTTTTCCTCATAACATGTTGGAAAAAAATATGAAGGCACACACAAAAATAAAACTTGAACGAGTACGGTTTTTGCTCCTTGTCACTAGAACAGTTATGAGCTATCTGGAGCAGATCGTGCACTCCAAGATCTACGTTCTGCAACCCTGACTTCTCCACGTGCATGGAGACACAGAGGGGCCTCACCAGCCCCTCCCCTGCGCCCCCGTCCCGCCCCCTCCCTGGAGCCCCGTACCCACGCAGTGACGCCCGTCCCGTGCCCCCTCGTAGCCCTGGTCACAGAGGCACTGGAAGGAACCAGGCAGGTTCTGGCACACAGCGTGGGCACCGCAGAAGGACCGGTTCCGGCACTCGTCCACATCTGCAACCAACAAAGAGTCAGGCTGTTATGTGGACCTTCCACCCGCTCCACATCTCATCCACATCTCACCCGGTGCCCCACGGGCACCCACCCTGGCAGCCGCCCCCTGGCGTGGGCTGATAGCCAGGGTCACAGGCTGGTGTGCAGCGGTAGGAGCCAGGGGTGTTCTCACAGCGCTGTGCTCCGCAAATCGCGGCGCCGTACTCTTGGCACTCGTCCACATCTGCAAGAGAGGAGGCAGGATGCCAAAGGCTTGGCATAACGGGTTCCCAGGGCCACTGCCAGACCCCAAGACGGAGAAGCCTCTACAAATCTGTTATCCTAGGACGCTGAACTTCTAAAGATCCACAAGTGCTGCTAACTCAAGGCTTTTCCTTTGGGGGAGGGGCACTGGGGGTTGTATCCAAAGCCTTCGCATTAAGCTACATCCCCAGGCCTATGTTTATAATCATTATTACTTCTTCTTTTGAGACGGGGTCTTACTAAGTCATTAAATTGCCCAGGCTAGGCTCAAATTTCTCTTCCTGCCTTGGCCTCCCAGAGTACTGGGATAGCCCTGTGTCACCACCACCAGCTAACTCCTAAATCTTTATTGCCACTTCTCAAATAGCTCAAACATGGTCCAGCCTCAGGGCCTTTGTACTTGCTGTCTCTTTGCTAAGGACACCTTCTCATCAGTTTTCTGCATGACTCCCTCCCTCATTTTACTCAACTGGTGGTTGGTCCATGCCTGTAATTCCAGCATTCTTAGGAGGCTGAGGCAGGCAGATCACAAACCCAAACCCAATTTAGTGAGACCTTATCTGAAAATAAAAAGTTCTGGAGATGTAGCTCAGTGTAAAGACCCAGGTTTCAAACCCAGTACAGAAAAAAAAGTGCTTAGGTCAAGCCCACCTAGTGCTCTTCCCCTGCTAGGCCCCCCACACTGCCTTTTCATCTCTGCCCATTTATCCTGTTTTGTTTTCCTTTTTAAATCTGACATATTGTATCTACATATTTATTATTATGACAACTGTTGTCTCCTGGAATGCAAACTCCACAGGGCAGGGATTTGTGTCTGCCTTGTTCCTCACTGCGCATATTCTCAGGGCACAGAATAGTGTCCAACACACAGGCGGTGCCCCCAAACTATTTGTTAAATGAATCCTCGCCTGTCATCCCAACACTCAGGAGGCTGAGGCAGAAAGACTGCCATGAGTTTGAGGCCAGCCTTGGCTACATAGTGAGTTCAAGGCCAGCCTGGACTACATAGCAAGACCCTATCTCAAAAAGCCAAAATAAATAAATAAATAAGTGCTCAATTTATTTACATAGTTATTATTGTTTTTTCTTTTTTTTTTTTTGAGACAGGGTCTCACTGTGCAGTTCAGGCTGCTCTTGAGCTCACTATGTAACCCAGATGGCCTCAAACTTGCAGCAATCCTCCCAACTCAGCCTTTGAGGGCTGGAATTATAGATGTGCATCACCACACCTGGCTTTTTTTTTTTTTTTTTTTTTTGAGACAAGTTCTAGCTATGTAGTTCAGGCTGGCCTGGACTCACTATGTATCCCAGGACGGCATGGTGATCCTCCTGCCTCAGCTCCACAAGTGCTGGGATTACAGGTGTATGCCACCACGCTGGGCTTACTTTTTATTTTTGAAACAGGGTCTTCCTAAATCATTAAATTACACGAGCTGAGTTCGAACCTTTCATTCTCCTGCCTCAGCCTTCCAGAACACTGAGATTAATGGCATGCACCCCCACATCTGACTCAGGAAATGTCACACTGGGAAAAGATGGTGCCTAGGAGGGATTGAAGAGGGAATTTTAATTTGTAGCCTCGCTGGAAGGGATGTCTTTCTGGGGCATAGTTACATAGTGAGTTCTAAGCCAGCCTGAACTATATAGCAAGGCCCTGTCTCAAAAAAAAGACACAGTTCCGGAATGGGTGAACATCCATTTGGGTGCAGACCCTTTCCCTTCCCCCAAGTTTGTGGGGCAGGACGCCCCTCCTTGAACCCCAAGGATCCAGCAACCTTTGTGAGGTCCAGGAGGACTCTTACCATCACAGGTACCCTCGGGGCCCGCGTGGTAGCCGGGATCGCAGTCCCGGACACAGCGGTAGGAGCCTGGGGAGTTCTCACAGCGCTGGGACCCGCACAGGGCCGGGCCACGCTCCCGACATTCGTCAATGTCTGGAGAGAGAGGCAGAGCAGTCAGACGGGGGTGCAGGCGAGGCCGAGGAGGCGGGGGTCAAGAGGGGGACAGCAGGGTCAGAAGGGCACGCAGAGGAAGCAGAGGCGAGCGAAGAGCGGAAGGAGGGGAAGAGGCGAGAAGGCAGGGGCAGCAGGAAGGGGAAGGGAAGAAGCAGAGGTAGGAGGCTAGAGACGGGATGAGGGAGGGATCAGGGCCGGGCGGGCCTCTCACCAAGGCAGGAGGCTAGGTCCGGGCCGGCGCGGTGTCCCGAAGGACAGATGCACTCGAAGGAGCCGTCGGTGTTGGTACAGATGCCGCCCTGGCAGAGGTCCTCCTCGCTGCACTCGTCCACGTCTGGGGGACAGCCAGAGAGCCAGCCAGCCTCCTCCTCGGCTTAACGTCCCGGGCCCCGCCCCCTGCCTTCCCCAGCCCCGCCCCTCCTGGTCTCCACCCACCCACTCCCGAAAGCCCCGCCCCCAGGACGCTTGGACACCCCCGCCAAAAATTCAAAGTCTTCATCCCACCCTCGTCTCCCCGTCCCGCCTTTTCCTGCTGTAAGCCCACCCTTTCCGCGTCAGGGTCCGGCCCGGGTACTGACCGAGGCAAGATGCTCCGCGGGGTCCAGGCCGGTAGCCGGGGGCACAAGTACAGGCAAAGGACCCGTCGGTGTTGAGGCATTCACCGTGGGGGAAGCAGAAGTCGCCCTCCAGACACTCGTTGATGTCTAGGGTACGCTTGAGATACAGCTGGGCTGCGGGGCCACCTGGCCCGCCCCCTGTACTAAACCCCGCCCACAAACTCTAACCCCACCCCAAGCCGTAACCCAGGGAACCAGTGCCTAAACTCTTCGCACAGCCCCTTTGTCCCAGGCTCTCTGCCCCTGGAACAGGACCTACTTCCCGGCTTTCCCGCCGGGCCCCGCCCTGCCCACCTGCACAGGGCCCGGGCCGACCCGCCGGTGCCCGGTAACCCGGCGCGCAGCTGCAGCGGAAGGAGCCTTCGGTGTTAGTGCAGTGGCCGTGAAGACCGCAGGAGGCGCCCGAACTGCATTCGTCCACATCTGTTGGGGGGTGAGGGTTCAGAAAGGGTCCAGACTAGGGACACCCTTAGAGCAGAGGGGTCTGGGAGAGGTGACGGAAAGTGTCTTGAGTGAAAGACAGAGTGAGGGCCAGTGGATGGGATTCTGATGAATAACGAGTCAAAGTCAATGACTGGAAGCGGAGACCAGTTCAGGTCAGACGTTAGAGTCCATAATTCTGCCTTAAATCAGGGACAGAGTCAGAGATCACGATCCAGTGAAGTTCCAGGGAAGAGACTCTGAGCAGGAGCAGGGGGAGTGAAAGAGACGGAATCAAAGGTCAGGGCTGTAGGAAGGGATATGGTTAGGGTCACAGGTCACATTCAGAGTCAAGGAACAGTCAGCCAGGAAATTCACAGTTGCTATCAGAGTTGGGGTCAGGGGTTATCGGCAAGGGTCGTGGTTAGGATCAAGTGTCGTGGTCAAGCTGAGCGTTTCTGCATCACGGAAGTCAGGAGTCACACTGGGGTTTGAGAGTCATTGACCAGGTCAGGGACTGAGGTCTGCTGCAGGAGTCACAGTCGGGCTATGGGAGTTGTGGTCCAGGTAAGGGGGAGGGAGTCCAGGTCAGGGTTGTGGGCCAGGGCAAGGGTAATGGGCTGGTTCAGGGGTCCTGACTGCGGTTATAGCTGGGCCTGTTCTCACCAGTGCATCTGCCACGGTGCAGCTGGTGGCCAGCAGGACAGGCCCTGCACTGGAAGGAGCCAGGTGAGTTCACACACTCCTGCCCAGGACACGCCAGGTGGTTCTCACACTCATCCACATCTGAGGAGCCGGGAAGAGGAGGCCTTGAAAGAACAGCCCCGCTCCCCTCCCCCAGTCACACCCCTCCCTCCCTGCCCGGCCTCACCCTCGCACTCGGAGCCGGCGGCGTTGAGTTGAAAGCCTGTGGGGCAGACACACTGGAAGCTGCCTTCTGTGTTCTCACACCGGCCATAGGCACAGGGCGAGGGACTGCGGGCGCACTCATCCACGTCTGGAGCAGAGGGGACCAGTCAGGCTGAGGAAGTGGTCTCCACCCCACCTGCCTCCAGGACCCAGCCAGGGCGCCCTCCTGCATGTTGCCTTCCCTGCCTCAGTTTCCCCTTGCAGGGTTCCCACGAGTATTAGTCAAAAAGGGGGGAGGCAGGAATGCCTCTCTCTCCAGTCCCCACAGCAAGTGATGGTGCAGCAGGGATGGACCCAGCACCCTCACCTTGGCAGGGAGCCCCCGGCCCCCGGGAGCGAAAGCCAGCCGGACAGGCACAGTGAAAGGACCCAGCCGTGTTGTCGCAGCGGCCTGGCCCGCAGGGCGGTGGCTCCTGGGCGCACTCATCCACATCCTCTTCACACGCCGAGCCCCGGAAGCCAGCCGGGCAGACGCAGCGGAAAGAGCCAGGCAGGTTCTCGCAGGCCCCACGGCCACAGAGGCCCGGGCTTTGGGTGCACTCATCCACATCTGCACGGCAAGGGGCCAGGGTCGCTGCTCCTCCTCGCCCCCACCCCACCCCCCGTGTCCCTGGCCTCCACCTTCCGTCCTCCATCATTCCTCTCCCTTACCCCTGTCAATCATTAATCCCCCCTAAGTGGCGGCCTAGCTTAGAGAACTCTTCCTCTCAAGGTCCCATGAGTCAGTCTCTATCCTCCGGAACTGCCCCCTGCCCCGGTTACCGGGGTCTCCAGCTCTCTCCACTCCGCTCCTCCGTCCTCCGTGATTCAGCCTTTGTTACCCACCACTTGGCCTTTCCTTCCCCATCACTCTACCGCCAAGAGGCCACCCATCTTCTCAGAACCTGGCCTCAGTCTCCTTTTGCTCCATTGCTCCGTCTCTTTACCCCTGTTGCCGCTCTATCCTTTTTTTTTTCTTTTTGAGACAGGATCTCACTATACGGGTCAGGTTGGTCTTAAGCTCACTTTGTAGCCCAGGCTGATCCCGAACTCGCAACAATCCTCCCGCCTCAGCCTCCAGAGTGCTGCGATTACAGGCGTGTGCCACCACGCCCGGTCTTGCCCCTCTATTCTTCTCCCTGCACCCCTTTCCTCTCTAGCCCTTCAAGTCCCTCACCCTGGCAGCTGGCTCCGTGTGGTACAGCCTGGTACCCAGCAGGGCATACGCACAGGAAGCTGCCCGGAGTGTTCTCGCAGCGCCCGCGGTCACACGGCGGCGGCACACGGTGGCACTCGTCCACGTCTGTGGGAGGAAGAGGGCGTCTGGGACTGGGGTAAGAGCCCCTAGATAGCCGCCCAGGGCCTGGAAGGTGGGAGGGGCGAGCCGGTGGGAAGGCAGGGGCGGGCCAAGATCGGGTTGGAGATGGACTAGGGGCGGGGACTAGGGTGGTAGGCGGGGCTTGCAGCGGGCAGGCTTTTAAATCGCAAGCGGGGATTTTTGTCTGAAGGGCAGGACAAGGGCTGAGGGTCAGGCCAGTGGAGAGGCAGAGAGGGCGACCGGGAAAAGAGGTAAACTGGGGAGCGCAAGCCCTCGGCACGGCTAGAGTGGTAAGGATAGCTTCGCAGACTGCACGAAGGAAAGGAAGACAGGAGCTGGGCTACAGAAAGGAGAGGCAGTTTGGGGTCGGAGCTCTCCTGCGGCAGGGGTGGAATCAGGTCGTGGTCAGGAGATTGGCTGCAGCGCTGGCAGGACAGCGGCAGGGCAGGGGGCGGCCCTGAACAAGTCTGGGATAGAAAGGGGGCGTGCCGAAGGGGCGGGGCCAGCGAGAAGGCGGGCTAAGCGTTCTGTTCCAGCCAGAGCCCTAGAGCAGGGCCAATTTGGGGGCCGGGCAGAGGTGGGCCGAAGGGAGAGGGCGGGACGGGGGTGGGACCCGGCAGCAGTAGGCCTGGAGGTGAGTGGAGAAGGAAGGAGGGCCCAAGAGCCGCGAGAGCAGGGGCAGGACCCGGCTGGAGCCGGTCGAGGCGGATTTCTCACCCAGGCACTCTGCAGCCCGTGGGCCGGCTCGGAAGCCCGGGCCGCACACGCAGCGGAAGCTGCCCGGTGTGTTCTCGCAGCGCCCGGGAGCACAAAGCGGGGGCACGCGGCGACATTCATCCACGTCTAAGGACACAGAAGGGGCCGGTCACCAGGCGACCGCGCCGAGCTCCCCCTCCCGTCCTGCCTCGGTCCAGCTCACCGATGCAGCGGGTGCCCTGAGGGCCGAGCCGGAAGCCGGAGTCACAAGCACATGTGTAGCCATTGGGCCGGGGTATGCAGCGTCCTGGGCCACAGATCTGGGGGTTGCGCTGACACACGCCGGAGGGGGGACCTGGGGGGATCAGTCAGCCAAGTTTCCCCAGCTCTGAACTCTTTTGTCCCTTCCATCTCAGTCCAGTCTTCTCGAGTCCTCTACCTAGAACACTTCATCGATGTTCCCTGTCCAAACACCATCTTAGAGGGGAATCCACTGTCTTTTCACATGGGACATTCTCCTCAGATCCTGTCCTTGAAATTGGCCCACAATGCCACTCCAGGTTCTCTACCGGTAAAATGTTTTGCTCTGCAACCTCCCCGCCTGAGGCATATTTTTACTGCTCTCTGCAAAAAATAACTTATCTACCATTAACTGAGCACTTACTGTGTGGCCAGTCCTTCAGAGACATATAACTGAACCTCACAATGATTCCCATTTTACAGGGTGAGAAACTGAGTCTCAGTAAAGTTTAGAGGACTTAGTTAACAGAATTTGAACCCAATTGATTCCACCACCTGATCTATCACCCAGCCCTTCAATTCTATCTCTTCCTACCCATTCCTTATGCCTATTTGTTCCTTCCTAGCATTTTGCTTTATATCCTCTATGCCAGAACTTGCTGTGTACCACCCCACCAATACCCTCAATTCTCTCTACCGCACCTGATTCACGAATCTCAGGACCAGTTCCGGCTGGGATGCTGGGCAGGGGAAGCTCGGGGCCAGGCCGGGGCTCAGGCCTGGGCTCAGGCCTGGGGTCAGGCCGGGGCTCCGGGCGATGGGTGGGTCGAAGGCCTAGTAAGGAAGGGGCACCCGGGAGTGAAGGCTTGAATTAAGGTGTACCCACTCCTCTCTCCTTTCCCTGTGGGCTGGGGTGGCCCCTCGAAAATGTCACCTCCTCCTCCAGGTGCCACCTCACCTGTGGGTGACCTGGGGGTGGCCGGTAGAACACGTGGCTGGCTGAGGGACACTCGGGGTGGCTCCTGAGCCAGTGGCCTGGTGTTGTAGCGGAGATCAGAAGCCGAGTAGTGGTATCCAGGACCAGCGGGACAGATCTCCCGAAAACCCTCTGGGAACAGGAAAAGAGGGGGACAGGAAATGAGACAGGCAGAGAGGGCCAGAGAAGAGATGAGAATGAGAGGGAGTCTAGAAGCCACCTTGGCTGGGGACAGAGCTTGGCCTGAGCTGTCTTAAGGGTTTGGCTTGGGTGTTGGCAGGGGGTACAGTAGTACCCTTAAACAGGACATCTCAGAGGCTAAAGGTGGGGTCACCGTTTTTCTCCTTTCGGATGATGGACTGGATCTGAGGGCAAGGTTTGGTTTGGAGTCTCCAGGGACTGAGCTGGAGGTCAGGACACAGTCCTTGTGGGGGCTGTTTTAGGCAGAAGCTAGAATGCCAGAGAGGTGTCTCAGCAGCAGTAGACCTGGCTAAAACTCTGGCACAGGGCTGTAAACCCGGGCCGGTGAGGGGCGGCGGGGCTGATGTGCAACAGTCGCCTAGCTCCTGGTCAGGGTGGTGTGGGTGGGGTCTAAGGAGGAGGGCGAAGTCCCGGTGGAGTTTAGTTTGAGGCTAGCAGGTCTCAGGAGCGTGGTCGCGTTTGAGCTCAGAGATCCTCCAGTCAGGAAGGGGAGCCCTTGACCGACCCTCTGGGAGTGTGGGCTAGCAGGGATGACACAGCACGAGAGGCTCACCTGAGCCGAAAGGTGGGCAGAGCTGACAACCGCGGCCCCAGGCCTTGCCCACTCGGCTGCAGCAGCAGATCTGCTTGGTGATGTTTCGAAGAATGGGGAGCGAGCAGCCGCCATCGCGCAGCACGCGGAAGCAGGGCCCCTTGGCCTCAGAGATCACGTGCTGAGCTGGCAGAGGGGGAAGAAATTCTTTAGGGCCAAGGTGGGGCGGGCAGCAGAGCCAGAATCTGGGAGGGAGGGGAATGGTCCCAGGTGGGCGGGGGTTGTGGGTGTGAGGGGTGTCTGAGGCAATCTGAAGGAGAGCTGAGGGCTGAGGGTCTGAGAGGGTTTTAAGGGTTGAATGAGAGACACTGAGAAGGATCTGGGGATCTAAAGGTCTAGTGATCAAGAGGGATGAGTAGATTTGGGATCTGAGAGGAGCCCCCAAAAGCCTGAGAATCTGAAGGCATCTTCAGTCCGAAATATTTGAGGGATTCTTGGAGGGTCTGGAGCAGGTGCAGGGAGTCATCTGCAGGTGCAGGAGCGTCTTAGAAGTTCTGAGGGATCTAAGACTGTCTGAGGGGCGCTGGGAAGTCTAAGGGGTCGGTGTGAGGGAACTAAGGGCCCGGCAATGCTCTGGGCGGTCCTCCGAGGTCAGGGCAGGCTTAGGAGCCAGCCTCAGCCCTCTCCTAGTGGCTCACAGATACAGCTGCTGCGGGACGAGTCGAGCAGGAAGCCATCTGGGCACACGCAGGTGTACCCGCCGCGCGTGTTGGCACACTCCCCGTGCTGGCAGCGCCCACCTGTCGCACACTCATCCACATCTGCCACGGGAGAAGAAGTCCCGATTGGGGGCTCGATCCGGACCAGACCCATCCGACCTCTCCCCTCCCCTGCGCCTCCTCACCTACGCAGGACCCATTAACCCTCTCAAAGCCGGTCGGACAAGGTCCATCTGGGGCACCCACTCTGTCGGACGTCCCTGTGGAAGGTGGGCCAGGGACAGGTGGGCGGATGGAGAACGAAAGGGGTGGGGACGAAATGGGAGGGAGGGACCAAAATGTGTTGGGTGTGGCTTGAGCACAGCGGCGGCAAAGAAGGTAACCAGAGAAGGCTGGAGAAGTGCATCGGTGGGGCCAGACCTCAAAGGCAGGTTTCAAATTGAGTGGCCGAAGCCAGAAAGTGGGGTGGGTGGACATGGAATGGAAAGGATAGATCTAGGCTATCTAGGCTTGTGGAAGTGATCACCACAAGCCAGTGGCTGGAATTCGTAAATGGGCTTAATCTGGGGGAAGAGTAGGAGGAGAGGCGAAGTTCTCACCCCTCCCCAGCCCCGAGCACCTCAGGGACAGCCTGGGGCTTACCCAAGTGCTGGGAGCACGGCTGACAGTCGTGAACTCCCCAGGCTACCCCGGCCCCTCGGCAGCAGACATCCTGAGTCCGGAGCCCGGCCAATGGTGACGCACACTGTGGGCAAGTGCAGAGTGAGCGCGCTCCCGCGCGGAGGCGCGCTCCCGGCCCCTCCCCACCGGCCTACTCTCACTTCGCTTCCGCGCAGCTCCCGAAAGCAGTAACCGAAGCCGGAGGCGTCCGAGTAGCCGTCCTCGCGCGGCGCGCTCTGGGCTAGCACCGTGTAGGGCGCCGCCGCCTCCGCACGCGCCGCCGCTTCCGCCCTGGCCACGGCCTCGGCGTCCGCCTCCTCCCAGGGGCCGGACACGCGCTCCACCTGGTGCACCACCACCGAAGCCTCCTGCGGGTGCTCCACGTGCACGCTCACCATGGACGCCACTCCTGGCGGGAGGCAGGGCGGGCAAAGTAGGTCTACAAGGGTTCGTATGGGCCGGGACTAGAAATGGGAGGAAGGGCGAGCTGGGTAAGTGTGCTCCAAAAGGCAGCAGAACTGGGGGCCAGGAACAGTGAGATGCTTGAGAGGGACCGGCGGAGACTCGGGCCACACCCTCCTCACCGTGTTCGTCATCCCGGTGGTTGGCCAGTGGCATGGTGTACACGGAGCGGGTGAGACCTGGCATGGCCGGGGCCGGGGGCCGGGCGCCTGAAGAGTGCAATTGGCAGAACTTGCCCGCGAAGTCCGGGGGACAGAGGCAGCGGTCAGGCTTCACGCACACGCCTCCGTTGTGACAGATCAAAGGGCAAAGGACTGGGGTGGAGAGGGAGAATGAGGATGCTCAGGGTTGGCACCGAGCCAGGCCGGTATTCCTGCAGCCAACGCGCCCAGGCCAGTTCAGCCCCCAGCATTAGCATCAGGCCCTCAAAAGTATCACTCATTTTAAATCTCTCACTCCTAGCTGCCTTGTGTCCCCGCCCCAATTCCGGTGAACCGCTGGCGCAGGGGTCCGGGAGTTCAACCCTCCGATATAGCCCCGCCCACTAGACTGCTTGCCACGCCCTCCGGTTCTTCATTTGCTTTCCGATCACCTACTCTCGAGGAGTCCTGCAGTGCACTGTGTGTTACGTGCCATCGGCTCAGCCTGCCACTCGAGTTCCTCATAGCGTTTAGCTCTACCCATTCCGTCACCTGGCTGGGTCCTCTGCTATTTCAAGCCCCTCTGACCCCGGCCCCTTCTCTCGACTCAAACTACATTTTAACCAGTCCTCGGAGAAACACCCTCTCTCCCAGTGTCTCCTTAACATTCTCTTCCCGCTTGTGCGCCCTCCCCGAACCAAGCCCCCACGTTCGAGCTCCGACCATTGGCCAAGCTCCACTTCCTAGTCCTGCCCACCTCACCTTCTACCTGCAGGATCCTAAACCCGGCTCATTCAGGAGTCTAACCTGCAGCCCTGGCCCCGCCCACCTCCTTCCCTGGCACTGATTTGCTCCGGCTCACTCCTGCCCCTCCCACCGCACCTCTGGGCAGGCGGGCGTCTTAGCCCCGCCCACCGCCCACCGCCCACTTCTCCTCGGACTCTGACTCTGGAGTTCTAGCTCTGCCTTCCCGCCTCCGGTAGCACCGGGGCGGGGCAACAGGCGGGAACGCGCCTCCCCTCTCCTCTGCGCGCCCTCGCTGGGCCCCTGACCACCTCTGGGCGGGGCACTGCCAGCTGTGCGGCGGGGTAAACAAAGAGAGGGGCGCGGCGGGGGCTGGGCGGCGGCTCAGCATTCCGGACCCTTGGGGAGTCCTAGGTCGGCTGAGCCAGAGGAGGCCGGACGTGTCTTTCGAGGGCACCCCTCCTTCCTCCCCCGGGGCTGCAGGAAACAGCTGGAAACAGCTGTGCGGAGGAGAGGGAGGGGGCAGACAGCGGGGCGGTCCAGGGAGGTGTGTGTGGGATTCTGAGCCACAACTGTAAGAGGAAAGCACAGGGAGGTCACCTCAATTTAGAAGGGTCAGGGGGTAGGAGTTCTTGGGAGGGCGGGAGGGCAGTACTGGGGGGTTCAAAGACAGCTCGAGGTTTCTGGGACGGGGGAGGCCAGCTCAGAGGGAACGCGTTCTCTTTGAACCAAAGGAATCTTTCATGTCCTTTTGGGGAACAGTTACCTAGAAAACAGAACTCTAATGCCTTCTGCGGGATGACCCATTTGAATGCTGAGGACTGGAGTAGGTGGAGAAGTGGAATCCCCGGACGTCCCCAGCACAAAAGAGACTCAGCTGAATGGGACTCAGGTACCCCAAAAACCCCTCCTCCCGGCTGCGGGATTAGGTGCCTCAGTCTTTTGATTAATGGCTCCGTGTGGGCAGCACACTGTGTGGAATCCCCTTAGGAGGGAGAATCTATTAATGAAGACCAAATCTGGGGTTCTCTGAAAAGAGATAAGATCTAAAGTTCCTGGGCAGAGGGTGAGCTGGAAGAGCAGGACTCTGGCAGAACTCAGGAATCGCTCTGATGGGACTGGGGGAAGCTCCACTGGAAATAAAAGAAAATGGGAATCCTACGGCAAGAGAATCCCTCTGCGGGGGGAAGTTATCACAGTACAGGGCTGCTGATGTAGGTCTTCTCCCGGAAGTGAGGAGAGGTAACTGAGGGCCAATACAGCGTTCTCTGGTGAGTGGCACCATTGTGAGGCTTTACCTCAAGACAAGGTGGGAACTTCACTGGACCGGCTGGTGTCTTGGAGTCTGTTTTACAGGAGTGGGAGGGAGGTTAGGGTCTGGGGCAGAAACTCTCCTAGTTAAGAGAGTCAGACCAGGACTCCAGGTCATTTAATGGGGGTCCTTAAGTAACATGGCTGAGGAGACGTTTAAGAAATCTGAAGCAAAATTCCAAAATGGAAAGGGTCTCTGATGGGAGTGGTAGGAAGCCAGCCAGGTCTAGGAGCATTTCCCAGCCTCGGAAGGCATTTCTCTGCTTTCTCTTGGCCTGAGTGCGAGGACCCTAGCCCAGCTCCCTGAGGGAGCTCAAAGCCAAATGGGGGCCACTGCATGGGCCAGGCCAGCTCTATGGCCCACATCCCTGGAGGAATGGGGAACCATGGACATCGGGGTCCTGCCAAGGTCAGCCCCCCTTCATATGCCCCTCCTTATGCCTCCAGGGGCCTGGCACCCGCCTGGGCACGGCGCCTGGCACGGGCGTGTGTTGGGGCTGGGTGGGGAGGGAGTAAAGAAAGGAGGGAGGAAGGGGAGGAGAGAAGGAGTGGCAGAGGGCGGGGGCTCAGGCAGGAGATGAGCTCACGTCGGCTGGGGTTGGGCTGGCTGGGGGCCAGACTGGGCGAGTTCTCCGCGCCAGGGGCCCCCACTCCCCGCTGAGGAGGGCCTGAAGGGGTGAGGGGCAAGGAGGACCAGACCCTGCAGAGCCTGCCCACCCCTGCGCTCTGGAACGACAGGTGGTGGGCCCTCCACCCTCACCTGAATCCCCGATGGTTCCCCACGTCTAGAGGTACTCAGGGAGCACGCGCCTCTGGTCCCTTCCGCTCCCCGGGGCACCCTAGCCCGGGGCTCCTTTCTGTATTTTTGCCGCACGTGGGACCCCTGCAACTCAGGCCTTGCAGAGACAGACATTTGCCCCCTCACTCCCCTTCCCTGGGCACTGTCCCTCCGGGATCTCCTCATCCCAAGCCCTCTCCTCAAAGACTCTCCCACGTCAGACTCCCCACGCGGCCCTGAGGGCCCATTACGCAGAGCCGCAGGGCCTCAGAATACGGCCCCCTTCCCCAAAACTCCCGGGCCCCTCAATTCCAGGTCTTGAGTTTGACTCAAAGGCATGAAAGCCGGCCCGATCCCCTCACGTGGAACTCCACAGGTCCCTGACAACACTCCTTGCTTGCAAAATCCGGATCCTCAGGACCCAGTCCCCAAATCAGGAGTCTGGAGCCCCCTTCCTTAAATACAAGGATCACCCCCCAGCACTACGGCACCCAGAATCGGGGCTCCTTCTCCCAGGGGGATTGTCTCCCCCATCCCCCAGGAGCCTCCTCCCTCCGGGAACCCCTCCCCGGGGAGCACCACCCGGCACTCACAGGCGCGGAAGCCGGGTCCCCCCGGGGCCGCCCCGCCGGGCGCGCCGCTGTCCACGCTGGTGGCGTTGCGGGGCGCGCAGGTCGGGGTGCAGCGGGAGCCGGTGGGCCCATGGACGCAGCGCAGGCCGCACACGGCCGGGGTGAAGCGCACGCGGAGACGCTCTCGGGGTCGGCCCAGCCCGGGCTGAGGCCCGAGCTGCGCCAGCAGCACCAATAGCGACAGCCAGAGCAGCCGCAC